ATATATTAAGGACTATTTCAATCAAATGGTATATATTAAGGACTAAAATAATTCAACCCCTATACATGAAGAACCATTTTGATCATTTTCTCTAATACTTACAAGGATCCTAAGAACTATAAAAGTTGATCTGAATCCTCTAATCCTATGTCTTTACACCAAAAATATAGATGTTAATTATGTCTTGAATTATTCCCTTGTGTATTTTAGGAAACTATAATTCCTATTGGTTTAGAAGACCCTTTGTCCTAATAGATTTGGAAAAGGAAAATATTATTCTTATAGGATTGAAAAAACCTTATCCTTATAGGTTTGGCGCTACTTGGGATATATATATATAAGGGATATAGTTGGGGATTCTATGATATGGTACATGATACACAATGTAGTCCTAAGAGATTCCCAAGTATTGTAAGCTTCTTCTTTTTTTCTTTCGTAGTGAAAAACTCTCTCTGCTTTTGTGGGGAGGAGTAGGCCTAGCGGAACCTCATTAAATCCTTGTGTTATTCTTCTTCTCTATTTTTTCATTGTTTGTGACTGTGTGCTAGTTAATCCATGATATTTCTGCAACAATTGGTATTGGAGCTTGGTTAAGGTTTCTAGACATAATCAAGGGTTAAGATGTCTCCATCATCTTCAATAAAGTATGAAATAGAGAAATTTATTGGTGGGGGGGGGGGAGGGGAGGTCTAGTTTCAGTCTATGGAAGATTAGAATGAGATCGCCTTTGGTGTTACAAGGATTGTGAAAGACATTTGAGGAGGATTTTCCAAAAGTGTTGAAAGAAACAGAACAGGCAGACTTGAAGGAAAAGGCTTTGAGTGCGATATTCGTGAGCGTTAAAAGTAGCGTTCTTAAGGAAATTGCTAAAGAGAAATCTGCAGCAACGACATGGAAGAAGTTAGAAGTTCTGTACTCTAAATAATCGCTGACAAACCACCTCTACTTGAAAAAAAGGTTATACAATCTCCGTATGAATGAAGGTACATGGGTCAAAACTCACCTTGATGAGTTTAATTCAATTATAATGGACTTGAAGAATGTAGATATCAAAATTGAAAGTGAGGATCAGAACTTAATCGTGTTATGTTCTTTACCACCGTCTTATGATACTTTTTTTGATACATTGCTATATGGGAAAGACAATATCTTAGTTGATGATGTTAGTAATGCACTAAAATCTAAGGAGTTGAGGAAGAACTTTCCAGATAGCAGAACTGATGGTGAAGAACACAACATACAAATTTTAATAGAAAAAGGTTTAACGCCAGATCGAAGTCTAGAGACAGAAAGCAGAACTACTATGAGTGTGGGGAGCAGGGTCATTAAAAAAGAGACTTTCCTAGACTAAAGGAGAAAAAGGGGAAGCAAAAGTTGATTACTCAAAAATATTTGACTACTCAACAAATATTGTTGACAATGGTAATAATTATGATGACATTGATTTTGTAGGGGAAGTTTTTGCTGTGAGTTCTGATCATAGGCAAAATTCTTGGGTTCTTAATTCTGGTGCAACTTTTCACATGTGCCCATACAAGAATTAGTTTGCAACTTACGTACAGATGAGTGGTGCTGACACCTTGGTGATGATAATTCATTAGAGGAAGAGGGGATTGGTAACATCAACTTGAGAATGTTCGATGGCATTATTAGAATATTGAATTTTGGCATTTTCCTTTAATGAAGAGGAATTTCATTCTCTTTCAATATTGGATGATCAAGGGTATAAGTTTCACTCAGAGAATGGAGCACTTAAGTATGTAAAGGCTCCATGGTACTCATGAAGGGTAAGCTTCATTCTGGACTGTGTTATCTACAAGCCAGTAAAGTTGAAGGGGAAGCAATTGTAGCTTCTGGGAAGAGTGATCTGAATCAATCTCAATTTGGCACTTGCGACTTGGACATATGAGTGACAAGGGATTGTCTTTGTTGAACAAGCAGAATTTGTTGGATGATTACATAAATCAAGCTTTAAATTTTTATGAGCATTGTGTGTTTGGTAAGCAAATAAGGGTGAAGTTCAGCAAGAAGGCTTTACACAAGACAAAAGACAAGTTAGATTATATACATTCGGACTTGTGGGGTCCAAACATAATTCCCTCCAAAAGTGGTGCAAGGTACTTTATGACTTTGATTGACGATTACTCAAGAATGGTATGGGTGTATTTCTTGAAAACAAAAGATGAGGCATTTTCAACATTTGTTAAATGGAAGATGATGGTTGAGAGGAAAATCGAAAGAAAAGTTAAACGTCTTCGAAATGACAATAGGTTGGAATTTTGCAACTTAGAGTTCAATAACTTCTGCAACAGAGAAGGCATAGTGAGACACCACACTTTTGTTGGAAAACCACAACAAAATGGTGTTGCAGTACATATGAACAGAATACTTTGTGATAGAGCATGAAGTGTGCTTTTATGTGTTATCAAGGATTTTTGGGATGAAGTCATCAATACAACTTGTTATTTGGTCATTAGATCTCCCTCTACAACCTTTGAGTTTAAAACTCCCTTTGAAGTTAGGTCCGGTTGGCCTACTGATTATTCAAATTTAAGAATATTTGGGTGTCCTGCTTATGCTCATGTAAGGGATGGAAAACTTGAGCCGAGTTCAAAGAAGTGTATATTTCTAGGGTATGCAACTGGAGTGAAAGGTTACAGATTTTAGTGCACAGAAGAAAAGACTCCGGGGTTAATTATTAGCAGGGATGTGACATTCAATTAATATGCCTCAATAGACAGTTAGAAGGAAAAGGCAATAGCAGAAACAGATCACGGTGTTAGTTACCGTATTCAGCTAGAAGTTGAATCTCTACTAGCTCGGCCCAATAGTTCAAAAGTGGAGGATGTGCAAGAAATTAATCAATATGATAATGATGATGCACCTATACAATAACAATCATATAGCATTGCAGCAGGTAGGAAAAAAAGAGTGTCAACCATAGAAAAAGATTTGCAAACGTGGTTACTGAAAACCTTTTTAGATATGTAAATTTTATAGAATTTGCTTTTTCAGTTGCAGAGACCATTGACGTGCATGGGCCTAATAGCTATAAAGAAGCTATTTCTAGTTCAAAAGTAGATCGATGGGTTGGTGCTATGGGTGAAAATATTGAGTCTCTTTAGAAGAATCAAACATGGAAGCTTGGTTCATTGCCAAGGGGATAAAAATAGTCAAACATCATATTATCTGAGATGTTGTATCTAAAGGGGTTGTTGATGTAAAGCAAGTGTCTAGACATAATAATACAGGAGATATGATGACCAAGACAATCCGGACCAATAATTTTAGGCATTGCCTAGACTTGATTGGTGTGAGTTGTACTCAGTAACCCTTTGGAGGGTTGGTAGCAAGGCAAATATGTGTTATTTCAATGATGAAAGGAATTCAAGCCAAAGGGAAGATTTGTTAATTATGTCTTGAATTATTCTCTTGTTTATTTTAGGAAACTATAATTCCTATTTGTTTAGTTAGGAGACCCTTTGTCCTAATAGATTTGGAAAAGGAAATTATTGTTCTTATAGGATTGGGAAAACATTTTACTATAGGTTTGGGGCCACTTGGGATCTATATATAGGGGATAAGTTGGGGATTCTAGACATGATACACAATGTAGTCCTAAGGGCTTATAAGTGGTCGTTTGGTTGGGAACAAGTATCCCAGGATTAGTTATCCTGGGATAACTTATCCCACCATGTATATGGGATTACTTATCCCATCACTATGATCTAAATGGTGGGATAAGTTATTCCAAACATGACAACCAAACAAGATACAAAATTTTTATCCCATCACTGTTTTCTTATCCCATCACTATGATATAAAAGTATTGTAAGCTTCTTCTTTTCTTTCATAGTGGAAAACTCTCTTTGCTTTTGTTGGTAGGATTAGGCCTAACCTAACTTCATTAAATCTTTATGTTATTCTTCTTCTCTATTTTTTCTTTGTTTGTGATTGTGTGCTAGTTAATCTACTTTCCGCATCAATAGAGATACAATGCAATTCCATTTAACCTTGTGAATGAAATTGGATATATCTTCAAAAATCCCACTATTTCTCTTCTTCCACCTTTGAGTTTGGTTATTATTCATTTCTTTTTGTAGTTCAATTATTGTTTTACCTTGTTTTGACTTTTGTTCAGGTTGATTTGTAAGATTGTGTATATTATCTTGCTATAATTTTTCATTTATGTTATTTCTTTTTCTATACTACTTTTGATTGTTTTTCTCTTGAGCTAAGGGTCTATCATAGATAGCCTCTCTACCTAGGTATAAGTAAGGACAATGTACACTTTACCCTCTTCAAATCCCATTTTGTTGGATTACATTGGGTATTTTTCTGTTGTGAATAATTAAACATTATAAAAACAGGTTAACATTCTCCAAAATACAACAACCATTCCAAATATTTTAAGTACGAACAACACATTTGTGTTTACACTTTTATATATTTCTATTCTTATAATACACAATTCGACAAAAAAATGGAGGTCAATGACTTTCCTAATAATTTCCTATAGGTAGAGTTGTTAGATAATGTGCTACATCCATTATTCTCTTGAATAATTAATGGAAAAAATGGATATTCAAAATACTTTTCAATGAGTATTAGAAATATTAAATACTCCTATTAAATATGAGAACATAACAAAGTTTACTCCTAGCAGCCATTATACAAATTTTCACATTTTGTTTGGTAAATTGCAAGTACTTGTAACTGGTATGATAACATTCACATTTGACAGAAAAGGAAACAAATAAAGTACTCTGTAAAGATTAGAGATTGAACAGAGTCCATGGACAAGGATACATATGTAAAGGCCAAGGGGTGAGACAGGTGATTTAGAATTTGTCCTTACACACAACTATTGTTCCAAGTGCATTAAATTTATTTGGAAATTTAGTATACACAGTGAGCCATGTGGTAAGTGTTGTTTCTTTTAATTAATGCAAACAACTGAATAAATCTCTACATACTATATACCGAAGAGCTTGTGGAAGCTAACCTATTGAGTTTGGCGACTTCTTTGAAGGAATCATCCAACTGAATGAGGCAAAGAATTGGTCGATATCCATACCAGGATACTGAGATTGGACATACTTTTTAACTGAAGTCTTACTTCGGAAAGCATTTTTCTTTCCATCTTTCGGTGCTTGAAAACGCTCCGGAAGATACAAATATCTATCTTTGAATGTGCCTGAATTTGTAGCTCTTTTCCCTGTCCTCCAGCCCCACTTATCACCAACATTTGGCCAATCCACAGGCGCATATGGTAAACCTTCACCAGAGTCATACTCAGAAACTGGATAAAGTTGAAGCCCAGTTTCATTGATTCTAGATGCAATCCCATTATATGCAACAAGTGCTAGACTCTCCCCAACCTCCTCCTTGCCTGACATTTAGATGGAAATCTCTAACTCTGTTGATACCAATGAAAGTCTAAAACCATGGAAAAATAAAAAAGAAATGTCAGAAGTCCACATCAGAAAGCAAACTGTTTTTGGCAGTAATAAATATAATGTAAGAACTACAAGTATTGGCAACCTGACCAGCAGAATGCTTGTGTATAATGCAACATGCTTGACATAAACATTTGAATTTATACAACACTTTATCGGTTTCCCCCATTAATACTATGTTTTGAATTTACTTCACCCCTAATTTTAGAAGAAAACAATCAGCTCAACTATATATTTAATTACACTTTCTATTTATAGGAGACAGTTCCATTTAGAATAGGTAGTTAGAGTTTGCACTTTTATTTAGTGGCGGAACTAGTTACTGGCAATGTAGTTAATTGGATCCCCTTCACTGAAAAATTATATTGTTCAATTATGACAAACCTAATCTTTCTAGTTATGTGTAAATTGTTGAATCCCCTTGGCATAAGGGAAGATACCAGTGCAGTGGACAATGGGGTTCAAAATTTGTTTTAGATCATATATTAAATCTTAGGTGTACATTCTAGTATTTATCTCAAAATTTATTTTCTAAATCTCTATCAGCCAATGCTATAATTGCATCTGCCAACTCCAGATTACCTGTTTATAAATAGCAACCGACACTTGATACATTCCAGTTACATTTTATTCTACAAAGAAAATGAAAAGTTGGACCATATATATATAGAGAGAGAAATAAATTTTAAAACTCTAAAACCACTCAACCACAACCGAAAAGCCACAATTAAGGTGGGAGAGCCTCGACGGCTAGCTTTCACTCTACCACAAGTAGGTAGCTTCTTCCCAGGTAGTCCTTTTCGAGTTAGGTGGTCAGGCGCCTCCATGGCACGATGGGTGATGGATGACTCTAATACCATTGATACAATCAAGGAGAACATATAATTAACATGGAGTAAAAAAGACGATAAAAGGCTTCTAACACAAATGAGTATATTTACCTACTTCAAGAAAAAAACATTAGTTTTTCAGTATAAATAATTATCATATATATTGAGGACAAGTATATCAATTAAGAGAAAGCTCTGATTGAATTTGAGAACATACCTGAGAGATTAAGGACTTGACTGAACTAGTTTTCCTTCTAATCCTAGACGAACACGAAAAATTTAAAATTCAAAAGCAAGGAAAAAGAAAAATCAAAACCCTAAAATCTTGTGAAATATGAAGGCGGTAATAAGTTTTTTTTAGTATTCAAAAGCTTTTATACTCGCTTCATGTGTGAGTTGGTACACACCCGTCACATTCCTTAAGGAGTAATAATTAAAAGAGTAATTATATTGTATCATTCTTTGAATATAATTAATTCAATATTTTGACAAATGTATTGGTGAAATGAATGGTACTTCCTCTAGTCTATACATAATTAAGTGAATTGTTAGGATATAACTCTCCTCTTAAACAAAAATATTTAAGGACAAATATTAAAAACTATTTTTTTTTATTATTATTCCTAAACTATTTTCTTAAAAAATGTAAAGTAGTTAATAACATCATTAAAAGAAAGGATAAATATGGAAACTGTAACATCCGACAATTTAAGTGGCTTTGAAGGAGCTTGAAATTTGAAAACAAATAATCTGGAAATTTGGCTAAGTGTGGAAATCAGTGAGTTTTGGCCAACTTTGAGTAGTCGTAACTCCTAGATCAGGATGAGTTAGGAGTAGTTCCAGTTATGTTTGCGAAGCTCGTGGAACGATCTTTCCAACGCCACCGAGTTTGCTCGATTTCGAGTTCGTATGAGGGAGTTATGCCCTTTAGAAGTTGGGAAGTTGGAAGGGAAATCCGTCCGGAAAATTAAGGGCATTTTGGTCTTTTCACAAAGTCTTTCTTTTGAGCTCATAATGTTGTATTAGGCTGACCTTTGAACCATTTTTGCCCCATTTTTTTGAAAGAAAAAGAGTTAGGGTTCTTGAGATTGAAGAAGAGAAGAAGGAGAAGAAGAGAAGAAAGAGGAGATCAACAAGATCATTGTGGATTTTCGTCGGGGGTGATCCCTATCAAGGTATGTGAGTTTTTGTGTGGGTTGATCCTTTCCCTCCCACACACTAAGTTTATTCTATGATTTGAGAAAAGATTGGAATTGTTGTTGAAGTGTTGAAGTTGTTAGTTGTTGTTGATGTTGTTGGTGGTGTTGTTGAAGTTATTGTTCGTTGTAAGACATGATTAGGTTGTGCATTTAAGTTGAAACCTATTGTATGATTGAGGGAATTATGATTCTAAGAGTTATGACCCTTTTGAAGTTGAATCACCATCAATTCCTAGAAAGTTTTGGCTGTCGATCCCGATCTACGGACGTGACCTACGGACCGTAGATCGATTGACGGTCCGTACTGGTCAACCGTCAATCAGGACAGCAGATGGGTTCTTGGGCGTCGATCTACGGGCACGACCTACGGTCCGTAACCTGACCTACGGACCGTAAGTCCGGACCGTAGGTCAACACTTAGTCATTTTTAAAAAAAAATGAATTCTGGGGAAGTTTCTGACGCGATCTACGGACCTGCAGGACGGACCGTAAGTCCATCTACGGTCCGTCGATGGCGTCCGTAGGTGCCATCTATGTCACCAGAAATCTGAAGTCTCAGTCAAATTTCCCCATTTCTTTTCTCACTTTCTCATGCATGTTTCAAAGTATTATACCTATGTTTTACAGTTGTTTCCGACACTCCAAGGTACGCATAAGCGTTCAAGAATCCCTCCATAACATGTGATCGAACACCTTGAATTCATAATTCCGATTCAAGGAAAGATAGCTCCAAGTCAAGTGAAGTTAGAAGTCAAGAAAAAGAGTATAGAGTTTCAAGTCGAGTAAGAGTCTCAGTTTCAAGTTAAGTTAGGAGTTTGAAGTTGAGTTCATTTCTCAAAGTTATTAGGGAACTATGTATTCCCAAAGAAGTTTTAAAGAAATGTCTTTACATTTGAATAAGGTTGGAAACTGAGATTTCCAAAGGGGCCTTCGGGCTAGTTTTGAGTAATTATCTCACATCAGCAGGAAGAAATGTATTTTAAAAACATAAGAGCCAGTACATTTTTGGGAGTAGTATCGAGCACCGAATTGGGGGAGCGTTCAAAGAACCCACAGCCCCCATAGAACCATGTTAGCCACCATGGGTAGAAAAGGATCATTCTTTTTAGAAGAATCCTTTTCAGATTAGACTAGTGGATCCATTAGGCAGTTCAGGTCTTATACCTTTGGCCGGGTATAAGATGCTCTGGCAGCGTGAGGTCGATCGCTGTATCATCACTATAGCTCTTATGTGATGGTTGTCGGTTAGAGAAACTCCCACATCAGTTATTGTATCTTCATACACAGAGATTATTGTATTCTTATATACATCAGTTCATTGCATTTCTAAATACATTTCAGGCTTATTGTATCCTTGTATACACACAGAGTTTATAGCATGTTTTAAACAGTCTTTCTTTATATCACACTTGTTTTAAATTGCCTTATATTGAAAGAAGTCAATCAGGTTGAGTTGAGTTGAGCCAGGTAAGCTGTTCAATTTTCTTCCAGATTTCATTCTAGCCTTTGTTGCTTAGTTTTCCAGCTCGCATACTCGTACATTCCATGTACTGATGCCAGTTGGCCTGCATCGTTTGATGATGCAGATTCAGGTACCCCGGATCAGCATCCTGCACGTCGTTGATCCAGCTGAGCACTCCAGAGTCAGTGGTGAGCCTCCTTGCATTCCGGAGGACTCAATTATTTTGTGTTCTTAGTTAGTTTTGTTTTATTAGGATGTTGCGGGATCTGTCCCAACATCCATCTCATTATTTTAGAGGCTTCATAGACAGATAGTCAGTCAGCTAGTTCTGAGTCTCTTATCTATGCATATATGTAAATATCCTATTTTGAGATTCGGGTTGCCTTATGGCCATATTTTATAAGTTAAGTTGTTTTGCAATATTGCATTGCTTTGGATTATTCTGTGAGTTAGGTTTCCGCTGAGTTAAGAAAGCCAGGCCAAGGGTTCGCTTGGGGCCAGAAATGGTCTCCGGGTGCCGGTCCCGCCCAGGGTGTAGGCTCGGGGCGTGACAAACTTGGTATTAGAGCAAAGAGTTCAAGAGTCCTAGGGAGTCTATGAAGCCGTGTCTGTAGAGTCCTAGTTATCGGTTTGAAGCGCGCCACATCTATAATTGGGAAACTGCAACATTTAGGAAGATTTCTCACTTCTTTCATACTCAACTTGTGCGTTAAAGTTTATCTCTAGAGAGTTTCCTTCTAATTCACGCTTGTGTGTGTTTCAGATAGTCATGCCTCCCCGAAGAGTTGGCAGATGGCGTCTTCCTAGACGCTACGTTGATGAGCAAGACTTACCTGATGCACCTGGAGTGCAAGATCATGGGGAAGTTTCTAATGCCGAGTTCAGAGAGGCGATTAGAATGTTGAGTCAAGCTGTAGCTAATCAGATTGGTCAGTAAAGGGGAGCTCGACAGGAAGGAGCTAACACTTCTAGGATTCGTGAGTTCTTGGGGATGAATCCTCCGAGTTTCATGGGGTCGAGCACTACTGAGGATCCAGAGGATTTCATTGAGGAGTTGAAGAAGATTTTTGATGTGATGCATATGGCAGATACTGAGCGGGTTGAACTAGCTGCGTATCGGCTGAAGGATGTTGCCAGAACATGGTTTGACCAGTGGATAAGGGGCAGAGTTGAGAATGCACCACCTGCGAGTTGGGCCCGTTTTGAAGAAGCTTTCTTGGGGCATTTCTTTCCTCGAGAATTGAAAGAGGCTAAGGTACGTGAGTTCCTCACACTTAAGCAGGAGTCCTTGAGTGTTCATGAGTACAGTCTGAAGTTCACACAACTATCCCGCTATGCTCCGGAGATGGTTGCGGACATGAGGAATAGAATGAGTTTGTTTGTTGCGGGGCTATCTCGGTTGTCAAGCAAGGAAGGTAGGGCCGCAATGCTTATCGGGGACATGGATAT